CGCTGCCGGCGGGGCGCCCTGGGGGGGATCGCCCTAAATCCCCGGCGCCCTCCTCCCGCCGGGTCCCCCGGGGTCCTGCTGCGGGGCACGTCCCTTCTCCCCCCATGAACGGCTGTGCTTGGGCATCATGGGGAGGAGAGCTGGGCTCCCCAGCCGCTGTGAGGGTGTCTGTCCTCGCTTTCAAGGTTGAACTGGGGAGCAAATAAACTCGGGGTCCTGGCTTGGCTCGCCCTAGGGACTTGCTGTCCCTCCCTGGGCAAGAAGCGCGGAGGCTGAGCTGAGAAGGTGCAAAGCCCAAGCTCTCGGCTGGTAGCTGCTCCTCTCCCTTTGCTTGGAATCGTGCTGAATGTCTGCAAGGCACCCAGGAGGTGGGAACCAGTTGGGGTGCTGAGCGTGGCTGGTGTGGATGCAGGAATGGGGACCAACTCTGCCCTGCTAAACTCTACTCAGCAGCCGGCCAGGGGCTCGAGACAGGCACGGAGCCCACCTGGCAAACCGCTGCTTGCCCCATCCCAGCTCTGCAGCAGACGGTGCCCTCTGAGCGCTCGGGTGGCTGATGGCCCTCACCTCTGTGGCTCGTGCCTGGGGGTGAGCAGAGTGCAGAGCCCACCGTGGGCTCGCCGCAGGAGCAAGAAGGCTTTAAGAGCAGTGCTGGGTTTACTGCTCTCTCACCCGCGGGCTCAGCTTGGCCACAAAGGCAATGGGCATGCTGGGGTGGGGGGATCCCTAATACCCTCCCAGGGGCTGCGGGAGGTGATGGGCAGGAGGCTGCTTTGTGCACCTGGAGGGCCAGGGCAGCACAGCCTGGGTCTGGGGCAGGTGACGTGCCCAGGGCTTTGCACGGGGCTTGTGCAGCCATAAGCTAAGGGTGGGCACGGTGGGCTGTAATGGGGAGCTGCAGCCTGCACGAGTCCTGCACATTGGGATCCCTGCTGCTTTTGATCTCGCCTCCCTGGGAAAGTCTCTCCGGTTCCTCGAGCCGCAGTTTGACACCTCAGGTCCTTCTGGTTTTTCGCCCAGCTGTGCCTCTTTCCTGCATAGGAACATGCCTTGGGGTGCGCAGAGCTGCAGGGGGGTGGGGTGTCTGGGTGGCACATGGGGGGGCTCTCTGCCTCCTGCTGCACCCCAAATGGCAGGTGGAGCATTGCCCACCCCTGCTCCCTGTCCCCATCAGGCTCTCCCACCCAAGCTCTCCCCTGCTGCCGTCCCCAGTTGTGAAAGGATGGGGCTGGGATGGAGGCACATGTCCTGCAGCATCCTGCTTCCCTTCTCACAGCTTATGTCTTTTGACCGCTTCCCATTGGATTTGGGTGAGATGTCGGGTATCTTGGGGAGCCCTGCATGACCTGGAGTGCAGCTCTTGCTAGGACCTTGCTGGCTGCCCTGCTTTGACCATTCTATGGACAGCTGCGTGCATCCCTGGACCTTCCCTAGAGTGTCCCTCCTCCATCCTAGGTGTCCTGTCACCTCGTGCGGCCCCTGATTCGGATGAGCCTGGCGCTGCAGTACCAGGTGCAAGAGCTGACCTCCCTGCTGCTCCAGAAGGATGCTGAGATCGAAGACTACAGGGAGAGCGGGGCCGCTCTCAGCAGAGGTGAGGAGGGATGCCTGGGGCCAAGAGAGGAGCAAGCAGGGAACGAGTTTCCTCCTTAGCACGGGGCTGGCATGCTCTGCTCCCTCTGGCTATTACCCAGCCAGGCTTGTGTTTCATGTTCAGCCGCACCGACAGCGAGACGGTAGCCAGAAGGCTGGGGAGCAGCCCCTGGGGAGAGCTGGGGGAGGAACGGCCCTTGACCAGTAGCTGGACAAGCTGGGGAGTCGCCAAGGGGTTCTCCGCTTTGCCGAGAGCACCTGGCTGCTCCCCAGGAGCCAGCGGGGATGCCAGTGAGGGCCGGCCCTGGAGCAGTGTCAGGCTGCCTTCCCGAGCATGGTAGCTCGCCAAGCGCTTGGAGAGCAACCAAGGGGCTCCTGGCTTTCCCTGCCGCTGGAAGCACAGCCGTGTGCGTGGGCCCCCCTCCAGCGCCCAGCCTGCTTCACCATCGGGGGGGACGGGTGGGAGGAAGCCCCCTCAGGTAGGATGTGGGTCAGCACCTGCCTGGGGGAGCCATCCAGGGGGGGTTGTCCTCCACCCATGGCTGGGCACTGTTTTTTGGGTCATCCCTTGCTAGCGCCGTGCTCTGTCCTGCTGCCAGAGGTGATACCTGCCTTTCCGCAGGAACCTTGCCTCCCCCAGGATGTGGGGTCTGGTGGGGGCCAACCCTGACTTGTGTATCATGGCCAGGAAGGTGATGTGGTCCAGACCCTGCACTATGGCAGGTACCCCACCACAGGAGCCTGGACCTGCGCTGCAGCTGCACTAGAGCTGTGCCAGCTGGCCATGCTCTCCTTTCTCCTGCTGTGTGCTGGCTCTGCAAGGCTCAGAGCAGCCAGGACAACCCGCTTTTTGTCCAGGGACTGATGCTGGTGGGCAGGCGGCCTCTCTTGTCCCTTGCCTGGGCAGGGCAGGAAGCTGGGAGGAAGCTTTGCACCAGCACTGCTGAGCAAAGCTGGCCAGGTGCTTCTCCAGACAACATTTTAGCAATGATGGGGAAAAATTAGTGCTTTGAAGGAGGCACAGAGAAGAATGAGGGATAACAGGGGTTTGTCCCTGTCCTGCAAGAGGAGGACACAGGCTGGCTCACCCCTCCAGAAAAGCAGCTGGAGACAACCATTCCCCTATCCTGCGGAACGTGGCTGTGCAGTGCTCAGATCGAGGCAGCTCTTTCAAGCTGGGAATGGTGCTGAGCATGTCCTGCCGCTGTCCCCTGCTCCTCTGTGCGAGAAGGTGCTGGGACAAGTGTGGGTGAGCTCTGGGCTCTGCTACCTGGATGCTGTGTGGATCAACAGGCTCAACCTTATTCCCCCACTTCCCTGTGGTCCTTGCACCTTCTGCTAACTGGGTGATGTGTCCCCAGCCCAAGGGGTCTGCTGACCTCTCCGCTGGCTCTGGGGTGAGCGTGCTGGAGCTGTTCCCCTGCAGCCCCCTCGCCCCATGGGTAGGGGAAGGGGAAGCCGGGGTGGAACGTCTGACCAGACCCACCCGGGCTGATCTCTGCTCTCCCTTGCAGACCGCCTGCGGACAGAGCCCTTCCAGGAGGAGACGTTTCAGCAGAACTTCATGGCTGAGGTAAGGAGCAGTGCAAGTCCTCCCTCCTTCGGCAAAGGGGTGGTGGGGACCCGGCACCAGCAGCCCCAGTGTGAGGTGTGCCAGGCTGGATGGGGGCACTGGTGGGGATGGCTGGACTTGCCTGGAGAGGGGTAATGCCCACTGGCTCTCCCATGGCCCTCCTTGTGTCCTTGCACCTCGTCTGCAGGGTGAGCAGAGCTGGGGGCACACCTGGCATGGCTGGATGGGGACATGGCACCGTGTTTTGGTGCCACTGCCTGGCTGCTGGGAGTTGCTGGGCGTGCGAGCCAGGCTGGCTGCTCCACAAGAGCATGCCATTGCTGGGGCATCCTCATCCACCTCCCACACTTGCCGTGGACCTGAAACACCAATGCTGATGGCAGGCAGGGAGCAGGTGAATGAGGAGAAGCCATCTGCTCCTTTTGGTTCATCTACTGCTTTTAGGGGTGGCTTTGCAGTGGCGCATTGTGGGGACAAGTGCCTTTCAACCTGTTATCCGTGCTGTGCCCACCACTCTCCCCTTGGCACGCTCTGCTCTAAAATCAGACATGTGCTTTGGAGAAACTGGGGCTGGAAGGAGAGGGTCTCTCCTCTGATCCTTTTTCATTACTGCAAGTAATCACAGAAGCACTAAAATGATTCAAACGAATGTGGCAAGATCAGAAACGATTGATGCCCATCAATGCAAAAAGACTCAGGTTGCTTCTGAGTGTTCCTGTGCTCGCTGTGAAGGCGCAGGAGTGGGGAGCAGCAGTGTCTGCTGGGGACCAGGGAGACAGCCAGGGTGTCCGTGGTGTCACACGGGCTTCGAGAGGACATCACTTTGTGAGACACATGCTGGTGCTCTTGCACAGCCAGCAATAAACCATCTGCAGAGTTTCTAAAAATTAGAGACGATCCCTCTTTTATATGGGAGGCATTGCATCCAGCGCAGGCAACTTTCGTTTCCCCCCGGTTATGATGGATAGAGCTGAATTCACTGCTGGACTGCAACTTGGACGTTGCCTAGGGACCGATGATCATGACCAGATTACATTCACCCTGGGCAAAGAAAGGACATTCCTAAACAGTAATTTATATCCTTCATGCTTTGAAAGGGCTAATTTCCCAAAGCAGGGGGAAAATTATGAGTGAAATCAGCTCGGAGGAAACATTTAGATAGAAAAATGTGAATGAAAATGGTGAGCTCTTTCAGAAGAATTTCAGAAGCCACAAAAAGCCACAATTCCACAATCAAGAAAGAGGGCAGCGCTGGCCAAGAGCCTGTTCTGGTTCAGCGGCGAAGTGAAGGCAGCAATTAGAAATAAAAGAGCAGTTTATAACAAATGGGAGAGCGGGAGTAGATAGCAATCAATATAAATTAGAAATTATGAAGTGTATAAAATGGATAACAGAAGCTAAAGACATCAGGGAAAAATCATGGCGAAGGACAGAAGGAAAGGCTTTTATTTAGTGTAGTAGGAGAAAACCCCAAGCTCCCAGCAATGGGATAAGCTTATTAGTAGACGGAGGTGGTAAAATGATTGATACTGGAGCAGACATGGCAGAAGCAGTCGGTAAATGTTTCAGTGCTGTCGCTGGAAGGATGCAGGCAGATGTGCCAGGATCGGGGGATGATGAAGGATGTCTTTGTCCAAGGGTCGGCTGAACAACATCTGCTAAAGATGAATGTCAGGCTTGAAACTGAGAGTCCTCGCAGAGCTGGTAGGGTGTGGGGCATGAGGGAAGGTTCTCGGTGGTGCCGGGCGGCTGCTGGGGCGGCGGGGCGGGCAGGAGGGCAGCAATGCAGCCCTGCACAAAGCTGTGCAAAAGTGGCTGGTGGGGAGCTCATCCTGCAGAGACTTAAAAGATGGGAGGGCAGTTGGTGCTGTGTGTCCCGGGAACAGCCCAGGAGCAGCATCTTGGGGCCAGAGCACCGGAGGGGGAATGGGAGGGTTTGGGAGATGCTCCACCTCTGCATCCCCTGGCAGCCAGGTCTGAGCACCGGCTGCGGGGGAGAGGCTGGTGGAGGGATGAAGTTGTGTGTTCAGACTGCCTGTGGGGATCTGTCCTCTGCATTCATCCCGTTGCTTTATAAACCCGCTGATGATGCTTTTGGCCCATGTACTATACCACGGCAATGAGCCATGAGATGCGAGCAGCTGCTGCCTTTGGTTTGAACATGGTCTGATGCCTCCTAGGTCTTGTGTTAGTGAGGAACATCAACCTGCTTGCAGCTACCAAGCTGCTTTGCAGCTCTCCACCACCAAATCCGGCTGCTCACTCCAGTCTCCCCTCTCTTCCTGCAGCAGAAGGGTGGGCTGGATGATCTCGTTGTCTCTGGGCAGGTATTTCAGAGCCCCCAGGCAATTTGTACTCCATTTGCCAGCTCCAAAAAGGAGCAGCAAGAGGGGCTGGGGTCCCTTGGGACATGCCATGGGGAGCCGGGAACGCTGCGACCAACTCCCGTGTCTGGTTTTTCAAAAAGACGCCGGACAATCAGCGTGGAGTCACAGGAATGAATTGAGGGCTGGGGAATGAGCCTGGCATTGAGAGACTTGGAAGGGAAGAGCTCCGTCTAGCTTATCAGGGAGAAAATTGAGAGGCGCCTTGATTACAGTGCGTGAGTGTCTTTACAAGGAGAAAACGCTGGTTAGTGAAGGGCTCTCTTTAATCTCGTGGAGAGCGGCAGAGCACGAGCCAGGCACTGGGAGCTGGAGCCAGGCAATTTGGAGCTAGGACGGAGGCACTTGGGTTTGCTCCCGCAGGCGATTAACGATCGGGGCACGCTCCCAAGGGCAGCGGTTGATCTTCCATTTCTTGAAGTCTCCAAAAGTGGGCTGGGAGCCCACCTGGAAGAAACCCAAGTTGCTGGGCTCGGTCTCGGGATGTGCGTGGTTGAACGTCAGTGGGCAGAAGGTCAGAAGGAGAGGTCTGATGGTCCTTCCAGCCTCTCCTTCTGGGAAATGGGGCTTCAGGTTGTGGATGTTTGGTAGTGGTAAGCACCTCCTGGCTGGAAAGAGGCTGTGATGGTGTGGCGCAGGGCTGGCGGGATGCGAGAAAGCGCTCCATGGCTTTGCTCGCTTCCCAAACCTTTGCTGCATCCCCCATGGAGAGGAAAGGACCTGCCAGTCCCCCAGGGCAGAGCTGCACAGGGACGCTCCCACCTCTCAGCTTAAACGTGCCCTTTCCCTGGGCTTGCGTGCACTCAGCTGTCCAGGGCATTTTCACTAATCATGGGGAGTTTTCCAGCAAAGCTCTGGGAATATTTATACGTTTAGGAAACGACGCTTTCACACACACAGTTTTTGGCAAGGGTTCACTGCTGAGCAGCTGCCGGGGCTGGGGCAGAGCTGGAGGGAGAGTGGCGGCCGCCCCCGGGCCGGGGGGAAAGCGGCGGCCCTTTTTTGGGAAATCCGGGGGGGGTGG